TGCAAAAACACTGCAGAGTTCCCACAGCAGACAACTATCGGGACAAATGTTATTAAAAGCAACCTTAAGAGAACAACCAAAATGTGGAATTAATATGTTGTGTAACATATTGACCAACAGATGCTTTGGTACTCTCTTCCCATTTTTATGAGTATGTTGCATCTAATTGCCTGCTCATGTCCTTTCTTTGCTTTTGCACCTTGTGCAAAATCATTCAAATGTATTATTTACTCCTTTAAATTAATTAATGTAATAATTAATTCGTGCCTATAAACAAATCAACCAAAATCAGTGCTTCTCTGGTTTAAGCCATACAGATGGATACTTACACTTAAGTTCTGTTATAGTTTTATATAATGAGGTTCTTTAAATGCAGCAGAAGATGCCTGATTGCTCAGAATCCCTAAATGTGGATTTCTCATCACTAAAGACATTGAAGTTTGCAGCAAATGCTCTAAATATATTTCTAGGCTGTTTTCCAGCAAAGGTGCCACACCTGTGTTTAGTTTTTTTGTGAGATTGGTACGAATTTCTACACCCCAGAATTTGTTAATGTCATCTTGTGTTCCAGTGGTCTGAGTGTACATTCATTTCAGAGCCAAAATCCAACATTCAGGTGGTAGATTTGTTGTGTGCAAACACTGTAGAAGTGCTACTCAGTTTGGAGTTTATATATAGACTTAGAGAATTTTATACTTTACAGTCTTTATTAATTATCAAATAACATTTTTTTTATCAGAGCACTTGTGAATCATTTATTTTGGGGACTTGGGAATAATCAAAAAGTGCACAAACTGTTTCTCTATGAAACTAGTGCCATGGCCTATTACCTAACTTCTTTTACCAAAATAAAATGTAACGATAATTCTGCAATTTTCTGAGCAGTAATTATTAACAAATGATCATAAATATTTAAGTCATGTTTCTTCATAATTTATATTTCCAATGTAAAATCCTTTGGAGATTAAGTAGTAATGACAAGTGGTAAATATTTGTGTATTGTGAAGTCATTGCCACATGTAGTAYTTTAAGTCGTGAAACTCAAGTAGGATTCAGTGTATGAACTCTTAATTAAATGCTTTAAAATAAAACCAGTGATGGGATTATATTACCAGAATGTAAAGATTCTGAAGTTAAATGCAGCCTTCTACCAAAACATAGCCTAATGTCTCTTTGTAAAACAAACTTGTCTTAAAATACCTTATTTTCAATGTAGTATATAGGTCAATATTAAAATTTTGTTAATGTGATGATCAGAATACAAATGCAAATAGATTCAAAAAGCCCATTTAATTCAGGTATTTATATAGGTGCTGATTGGATCTCATTGTAGATCATTAGCATGAGTGTCATTTTCCTTTTAAATTTTGAGATTGTTTCTATGTACTATGTAGAAAAGTTGAAGCTGCCCTATGAAAAATTTYCACTCTGACTTTTATTTGCTTATGCAGTGCAAAGATTGAGAATTTAAATATTTTTATTACACAAAATTTGTGAGGTTTTTAATTTTTTTTTAGAAACTGACAAAATGGGAGGACGTATCTCTGGGTGTTARAAAAATTTTGACAGGAAATCAGAAGAGAACTAGAAATTAGAGCAGAGTAGAAAAGACAGATTTTTTTGTTTCCTAATATGGAATCCAGATGAACCTAGATTGATTTGATTAATAGTAGTAATGATAAAATTGTGGTACATTAAGAACTCAATCCAGTAGAAACACACAATATTAATTTCAGTGTGTGTGTTTGAGCTAACAGGCTATGCGTGAATTTGTGTTGGTAGAGTACCAAGCTTTATACTCAGACACAGACCATGATACATTTGAAACTGCTTTTTTTTTTTGTAAATAAATATTTTCAAACATGCACAAATAATTACTCAAATGTCTGTATCTTCTGAAAAGAAATTAGTAAGACAAAGCAATCTTTTTCTGTAATTGCCCTTCCCCAGAGCTGGTTAAACAAGTGTACAGTTCCCAATTCCATAGCCAGCTCGCTGCATGGATTTTCGTGACATGTTTTGAAAGTACACTTTGGTTGAACCCAAATATTGCAAGTTTGCACTTAAAAGAACATGTCTGTCTAAAACAGGAGCACAAAGTAAGATATAGAATGGATTCCCAGCCCAGCCTGCACAACAGGATTGCTACCATGTCGTTAGAATAATTATATTTTGGCTGAACTAACTAATTTAGAAAAACTACTGTACATCTAGCAAGACTGAAAACTTTCCAAGGCTGGATTGGATTTGTGCTTTTTTTTTTTTTTTTCATTTTTAGTATAATTTAAAACAATACCTCTTCTAGCTGCCAACAAACTCTTTCCCTGAATCTCACCATTCCTGGCTTCCCTCCTAACCATGTCCTGGCTCACCTCCAGAGCTGCCAAGTTTATGCCAGAAGCAGGAGGTAGATTTGTATGGGGCTGGAGGAAGATCTGGAGCTCTGTTAAATTTTCGAGCCCAGATGGGGCAACATGATTTGTGTGTTTATGTCAGTGTGCCATACATCACAACTATCTGTGTGCTGACGTCAGCTTTGATTGGACATTAATGTGCTGAACGCTGCAAACTACAAAATACATGATAGATACAGATCTATGGCAACAATGCCACATAAGCAAATGTCTGTTTGGTGTGGCCATTCASTGTGCAAAATATTTCCCAAGATACACTGCATTAAGCCAGGGGAATATTTTGACATACTTTAAAAACAAAAACAAAATCAACATGGGCAAAGAACATTTCCCATTTAAACCCTTTCAGAGGAAGAGCTGAAAGCAACACATTAAAGTATGTATCATCAGGCAAATGTTGAGTTGCTGTCCCTCAATTGAATCTTTCCAGACCTAAAACCAAATAGAAAAGATTCTATTCTTATGATTTGCAGGACTGGCAGTGRTGAGGATACGTTGCTGATGGTTGAGCATCTTTTTTGCCACAGTTTCTGTAACCCATTGTTATCGAAACTAGCAGGCAAAAACATTAATAGACAGCAATTTTTTTTTCTTTTTCAAGTGAGATGATATTTTTTCAGTATCAAGAGTTTAGTTTTGAGGAATCATCAATGTTTGTTTATTTATATAAAAGTTTTGTATTTCTTACTTATACAAATAGCATCCAGCAGCCTGCTGAAGAACTGGCAAAATATGGTAATTTCTGGTCTGTGGATTTATAGAGGTCACTGACTACTTCAGATTTATATTTATATCATCTTTATGTGATTGCCCCCGTCGAATAATGTGACCAAAAGATTCCATTAAGATATAATATACTGTCTCTCTCTTCCTAGAAGAGGAAATGATTTGCAAGTCAGCTTTCCTATTTCAGGGGCTGATACAATAGCAAACTCTGGCTATTGGTGTGTAGGCAGTTCTTTAATGTGAGATCTCTTACATAATTCCTCAGAAAGGAAATTCTGTAGGATAACACTACTTTATCATTATCCAGCATTAGACTTTGTAGGTAGAATGGAAGTTCCCTGATTCCACAGGGATGGATGCTCTTGGCCTGAGCACAAGTAGCAGCTCTGCAAAGAGCCCCCTCGGCAGGATTTGATGCCATCTGGCCCATAAGGTGGGGAAGGGAGGGGGTGTCAAGGTACCATGGGATCCATGGATTTAGGCTTGGTAACCTGAGCAGATTGGGCTGTGCAGGACAGACCACAATTCCATGTAGTGGTCAGAAAACAGAGTTCAGTTTATTCTTGGATAGGAGCAGGAAATGTTCACCTTTCATKGGTGCTTTGTGAGCTTCTCTGTGGCTAGAAAATATATGGTCATTGAAATGTGGATTCATGAAAGCAGCTGGGATATTGCTCACCATTTTAATAAACCTTTAATAAAGTACAATTCATAGGCTGTTCTAACATAATCTATGGGTGTTAGAATGCATAGGCCGTGTTTTAGTCTCTCTGCTTATAATTGATAAATTGTTATTATGAAATAGCTTACCAGTATTCCAGTTGACCTTTCAGAATAAGCATCAGTCATGTAGTTTATGAAAGAAGTGCAAAATGTACAAGATACTTTAAAATTAAAAAAAAAAAAAATACAAAATTAGAACCTGGGGCTACAGGGCTAATTCCTTATAATTGGAATTGGTATTTTGAGGTTATTCACCTTGATACCCTTGAAGGTTTGATGAATGCAGCATCTACAACCACCAAGATTGCCCAGGCACCTTTAGGATAACTATTTCTTATCTTAAGGAAATATTTTGCTTTTTACCACAGATGTGTTTCCTTTTTTTTCTCATTAAATACTGACATCGTCAAAACATTCAAGAACATTTTTCCTGATTTACCTCTGAAGATCTCTATTGTGACCTTTGAATTCTCTTTCTGCTGTATAAAATTAAGTAAAGAAAAGCATGTGGAAAACGGCTTATTTAAGGCATATGACAGTACATAGCACGAGACATAAGCCATCACTTAAAAATTACAAATACATTGAGAAATGGTAATGCTGCTTGAAGCTTCAGGTTCATATGTTGTGTARAGAGAAACTTTTAAAGGGAAAAATGCTAAGAAATTACTGGAGTTTTCCATGTTCAACTGATAACGAAAATGAATGATTGTGTGGGTTCTGCTTGTTCAAAATATTAGACATGATATGCCTCAGTGTATTAAAAACCAAGGTTTTCAGAACCCAAACTAAAACTGGGCATCAGACTCATAGTAGAAATCAATGTGAGATAAGCTTTACATGTGACTGGTAAAATATCACTGATGAGACAAATGCTTTTTATGAATATTTGGGGAAATGTTAATTCAGTGCCACGTTAGTTCTTTTATGATTTCTCCTTGTCAAATGTATGTTTTCTTTGGACAGATATTTCAAGTGGGTTTTTTTTTRAGAAAAAAGCCTTCTAACATAATTTCTACATATTGATGACCTATTTTTTCCCCCCAGTTTGTCATTGAGAAGACCAAGGCTTACTCTACGAGCATTAATTACCTTTTTCATCACATAGGATGTGTATTTTGTTTCCATGTCTTACAGAATAAAGCAATTATGGAACGTGTAACAAACTTGTCAGATATGGTAGTTGGTCTTGAATCATTTATTGGCTCTGAGAGAGAAACCAATCCATTGTACAAGGATTACCACGGTAAGTTCCATCTTTAGCAATGCAAAAATTCCACCCTGAGTGGTTCTGGGGCACTTAGCAGCTCACCCTCCAACCAGTGGAGAAAAGAAGGGTTGGATTTCATTTTGGAATGCAATTCTTAAATGTTTCCCCCTTGCCTAACCATTCTTGAGTTAGGGAAATTTTCAGCAAAGTGCATTAAGGCTGCAAAGGAAACATGGCAACTCCTTGCATGTTGTCAAGGCGTATTAGGGAGGCATGGCTCAATCAGATGTACATCTCAACAGGCAGCCTTTGGGGAATTCACATGCAGGGGAGGCTTGGCAATCATCTGACCAGCSAGCTCAACTTGTCATGAAATCAATACTTTTGATCTGCCAAGTTTTAAATTGAGAACACGGCAAAATATTTATTAAGAGGAAGGCGAACAAAACACTAAATTATGTGCTGGATAAACTTTAGCTAAAAAGAATGTTGTTTTTTCAGCTATACATTACAGCATTTGCACATATAAAGAAATTAATTTGCTATGTAAAATATGAAACTGATTTTTTGGTAAAAAAAGCCTTTCAAGTGTTTTATCTTCAAAATGTGTAATAGTGCTTAATCTTGCATTTTGTTTCCCAAAGATTTTTTGCTGGCTGTTGCAGCAGAACTATTTAAATTTCATAAATGATATTAGAAGTTATGCACAGCCAAAACAGTGAACGATTTTAGCTCATCTGGAGCAGTGCTGCATAAATTACAGCTCTTATTATTGTGATACTACTGTAGTTCCATGGAAACCTTTAGCTGAAAGTAAACTGCTTATTCGAAAGCTGCAGTAAACATATGACAGTGGCAGTGTTTTCCATGGCACAATGTATAGGGTATCTAGAAAAAAAAAAAGCAAAGATGGTGTTGAGACACCACTGTGTGTATGCAAGCTGTAATTAATAAATCAGAGAAAAATCTTTCTGACTGTGAAAGTAGTGCACATTTCATTATCTGAAAAAAAAAGGTGAATGAAAAAAGAAACAGTGAACAAAAGCTGGAATAATTTGCCTAATTATTTTTCCAACTGTATAATCGTGATATGGCCTTTGTTTATGCTAACATAATTCTGTCAATTTAATACTSCTTTTCTCAGTACTGAAGAGATCCTTTAAGACAATGTGTGTTTTAGCAGTTATTTCCTGGTTTCCTATAAAAATGTATGCTAAGTCATTTCTGGTGCTATTTAATAMAAATTATGTGCCAATAGACATAGATTTTGAGATTTACACAACCTCAATTTGACAGTCTGAAAAAGAGGTATTTCCAACGGTTTTAACTTTGTGGATTCTTTTTGCTTAAGAGCRTATTTTAAGGCATTTATTTACTGCAGATGATGAAAGATTTTGACATTACTCAGGAGAAGTTTGATTACATTATTGCATTAGTTAATGAATCCTCCTTAATAATTTTATTAAGCTGCCTGCAAGTTTAAATTTTTGAAAAGCCACAACATAAAAAAATAATTATATAGATGACCCCTAAATAAAATTCCTAGAATGCTGTATGTAAGCAACCCTGTGTTATACTGCTATTCCTATATATAATAATTAGATTTTATACTCAAAAGCCTAACAAATAATTGTTCCAATTCACTGGATAAGAAGAAAGGATAGAAGGTTTTAAACTATAAAAATGCTTTTCTAATATTATTGAGAATTTGTGTAATTAGCGTCTATAAAAATTATAATTTGTTAAGTATTTAAATTATAGGAAAATTCCTTAAAAAAAAAAAGTCTGAAAAAATACTTGCCTTATTTTAAATAAGGGGTTTAATGTTTGGGGATTTTCTCACAGCTGCCGTTTTGAAGTCAGATACCTTTCCTAAATGTTGAGTATTTCCATTTAGATGCTGGCTTTATGAACAGCAAATATAGGCCAGTAATTGAGAAGCCCTGTAGAATTTTCCTGGTTTTCAGATGTAGAAAATCACCCTTAGGTTGTTCAGAGACTATATTAGGCTGCACAAAAACCATCCAGCGTCCTTGTCAGAAAAAATCAGCTTGACTTGCAGCTGACAGAATGCAGAGCTTGCAGTGCACCTAGTACTGTTAAAAACATCTGAACAGCTACAGAAGCCTCCTGCAGGAAGGAAAAAACCTATTTCTTCTGGGGTGGCACAGGGGTTAAAATTTATTAAAAAGCACCAGCTAAACCGCGCTTTTCCAGAAACTTTTTTTTCAAGTCGTTCTCAGGGCACAAAACGAAGGAGCTCTCATTAGAGCTTCAGTGGTTATCAGTAACCCATAAGCCTTGTTTTGCTGGCTGCTTACTGGTGCATTTAATAAAATAAAGATCACTCAGTGGTGCCGTGGGCAGCATGCAAGGTGATAGCCATATTTGCTTACTGTAAATACAAGAGAAAATCACACACAAACCGGCTGTAGTTTTGACAAGTATTAAGATGGCTCTTTACATCTGTACTTCTGTACCAAAGTGCAATTAGTTTTCCTCGCACAAGGATTTCTGTTTATCTTATTCTGCTTGATTACTTGAGCATAATCGCACCGTTTGCTTCATTGCTCCTGGTAGTAAGCTCCAGTTTAAAAAGGGGAGGATGAGTGTGTGTAAATATACAGAATTCTGCTGTAAGACTCTAATTTATGCATCTGGATGACAGCGTTTCCTTAATTTTTTTTTTCCCTCTTTTACTCTTTCCTTCCGCAAGGTTTGGTTCATGTACATCAGATTCCTCGGCTTAATAGCTTGATCTGTGATGTGTCAGACACGAAGGACCTTGCTTTTAGATTAAAAAGGAAGCTGTTCACCATCGAGGTAAGAGAAACGTTGTTTCACTATTTAGAACCCAAAAGGTGGAGCTAATCCCATCTCTTATGTTTCGTTTTGTGAAATACATAAAATATGCATCAGATGTTGTAAATTCATTTCGTTCTGGTTTTGCTGCTCGGAAGGGTTTTATAAAATACTGTAATATGGCTTCTAATTAAAAATGTCTCATTTGCTGCACTAAATCGGTCCGTTATAAATACTTTATTTTGGTTTAAAATGTACATAGAAAGTAGGCCACAACCTTCAATAACAAAGCATGACATGTTTCTAAGGATGTCAGGAGCATATTTAATTAAATGTTAATGACTTGCTCTTACTTGTGTTAGTGGGTGGGAAAGTAGCTACATGTTATTACCCCAGTAGAGGGATTTTAATGTATAATGTTGCCTAAAATTGTGTGTGGTATGGGGGATAAGTGTCCTTATCAGTATTCAGAAACCATTTTCTTTGCATTACTGAAATCACCTTTTGCTCTTTTATGTCATTTTAAACACAGTATCATTTACACTAATGTCCTTAAGTAAATTTCCTACTAAATTTAAACTTTTTTCTGTGACCTTTATGCAGACAGTCCTGATAGAAGGCAGTAATACAAAAGATGTATTTCATTTTAATCTTGCTAAAGAGCAAATGAACATAGCACTATTAAGCAATTAGAGCTGATGTATTTATTAACCAAGTAATGCTTAGAGATGGAAGATGGCTTTCAGGGTGATGTGATAGTCATCGGTACAGTCTGGGCAATTTTTTTTTTTTTTTTTTTTAACAAAGACATAAAACAGCCAAGCATCCCTGACAAACCATTTTGTTTAATCTCTTTTCAAATGAAAAGCTCTTAAGCAGGCCACTTGTCTTAACTGCTTCAAACCATAAAAAGAGAGAATTGCCACCAATAAATTAGCATATTTTTTACTCCATCACCAAATGCTGGTCAATGTGCCTTGGCACTGCTTTGGTGTTTGGGACTTCACCCTTAAGTGACCACTTTGGCCCTTATTTGACCCTCTGCCCTTTTTAGCTGGCCACTTGATAAGGTAACTTAAGGGTTCTCTCTCTTCACTGCCCCCTCCCCTTCACAATTGCAAGTAGCCCTAACCTATAAATCATTGAAAGGGCCCTATCAAGTGACAAATTAAGGTTCCCTCCTCCTAATTAATGGTCATCAATGTCTTTAATTATCTAATCCTATTGAGAGTAGTTAATAGTTAATCAGGCAGCCAGTTCTTCATGCAGGTCATCTCTGCGTGAGTGCTAGAAGTTTCTCAACTAGAGGTATCCTCTTCAGAAGCCACTTAAAGGCAAATAGATGAAGGAGGGCTTTTTTTTTTTCCTCAAGAACAATTCCTTTATAATGTTTTGTCACTTTCCAGAGAATGCAGTTAGTGAAAACAGGCATTGTGAGGTATTAAAGCATTTTAACAACTGCTTTTGAGTGGTACAGTAGAGACAAAACCCTTGATCGTCTGTGTTTGGTTTTAAAATACAAATGTTCTCACTGTTTTCAGAAGTGCAGAGAAGCGTGCACCCTCCTTTCACAGCATAGTAAATTCTCATTTATTAGAGCTATGAATTAGAATATTTGGGGAGTTTCTCATCACTGTGAATCCTGACTCAGAACGCAATTGTCGGATGAATTTGAGATTCTAATTTATAATGTAACTTGGAAGGAAAGAAAACCCTTAGCAGGAGGCTCTGTAAAAAGGATCAGCCATGGGGCGTTGGAAATGGGAGTGTGGTGGAWCTCTTGGAACAACCTGTTGCCCAAGATGTGCGTGGATGACCCACTTGTGTAATTTCTTTTTTCGTTGTTCAGCTGCAGCCCCTTTTGAATAACTTCACGTTTTGTTAGAGATATGCTTTCTGTAAGCTGAGCTGACACAAACTCTCCCTTTTTGAACATGTTGGATCACTGTCCTACTGTGATCTTCCTGTACACGTTGCACTAATCTATAATACATTTGTTTTTCTTCCTCGTACTGTTAGGGAAAGCAGACCACAGCCAGGCTGACTGGAGCTATAGGGGCAGCAAGAAAATGGGAGAAGGGAAAACTGAATTAAGAAAAGATGTGAATGCAGTCTTCTGAAATGGGTTTCTGGTTTCTACAGTTAGAATGTGATGTGTCAGCATAGTCAGTGCTGGTTCWGGGGGCAGRAGCATAATGCAGCACAGCAGTGTGCAATGCAAGCAACASTACAAAAGTACCCCTGAGTTCAGGRCTTCTTSAGTATGTRGTTTAAATATGAAATGAAAATATGTATTGAGTACCTTACTGGGTTTTGAAAGATTCTGCTTACTTACATGCACAATTTGGGATAAAAATACTGACCTCTGCTTGAAATGSCACTTTAAAGTCAAATTACATAAGGAAAGTTAGAAACACTGAACCTGTGACTTAAGGCAAAATGTCTTCATAAAGGGTTTCCATCACTAGACCGTTCTTTTTTTACAGTTTAAAATAAGAGCATGGGGCATGGATTTTCTCATCTCTGGATTGCTCACCAGTTAAATAACTCTTTATAGTTTGGCCCTCATAGGTGAAAAAYCTTGAATGTCAAATTCATTTTATTAGGTTGCAGTTTTGTGGGAGGGACTTCTCCTCTTTATGGCCTGCAGAATCATTTAACTGTTTCCGTTTTCCTTGTGTCTTCTTCATCAAAATAAGGTTGGCAGAAATGCTTTCTAAAGAGATTTTTTTTTTTCAATTCAGCATGAAAATGGTTTTTTTAATGAATATTTATGAGTGCTCATTGTCCATTTATAAATTATGAAGCAGAACCTTTCCAGGAAAACCTACATGTTTATCCTAAAAGGTGCAGCAGCTCTATCCAACATTCCCAAATCTTCACACATTTGTTACCAGCAATATACTATTAGATGCAGCATTATCAGAGATCTATCTTATGTGCATACCACTTTAAAGGACACAATTTTGAAGTTAGCCTGTCTAATCCTATTTCKTCCCACTTTGGAATCTTAATTAGAAGGAGATAAAAACCATCATTTGACTAAATTATTGTCTTGAATCTGTAGCAAAAAAAGGTATAATCCGCAATTGGGCCAATTAGTGTACCCCATAGTTAGCTATGCTGAGGCAGGAAACTTGATTAGATCTGACACCAGCCTAGTTCCCACTGTTGTTTTGCCAGGTATGATGGTCAGACTTCAAAGGGCTTGAGGCATCAGCAGGGCAAGGTTTGGAGGCCAGCTTAGGTCCGGTCGTTAATCTCCCTGCTAAAACCACAGCAGCTCTCGCACAAAACAAGCTTACACGACACAATCATGCGGTATTAAAGTTTGGGTTGAGTCATGCCAATTTGCCTTTGATTTTCTGATGATTGACTAAAAGATGGCTACATGACTAGACACATACTGAAAGTTTACTGATTAGGTAAGTTCTCCAAATATTTGAAATATTTTTTGATTTCTCAGTTAAATGATATGACAGCCCGTTGGTCTTAATGTGACTTTGCAGCAGAATTGTTGTGGAAGTGCTTTTTGCTTCCTTTGTAGCTCTGAATGTAACTTTTATCAACATTACATAAATTTTGTGGGRACATTATGTTCATAGTTTCATTTGACAGAACTTTATCTTTGTTGTTCCAAAGTCTCATGTGTCAAGACTAAAGGAATCTATGCTTTAATGTGTTTTTTTCAGTGCTTCAAATTTCCATGGAAACACTGTTTATCTTTCTTATTTAGGTGCRTTTATAATTACTCGCCAAAAGGGCATTTTCCCTTAATTATTTTCCACCTCACCATCGAGTAAAGCGCTGTTCCCCGGCTGYGATTACATAAGTGTTCCTTTCTTTTGCAGTCTGATTTGTTCAAATATTGCAGTAACAGTGACATGTTTCCATTCTGAGAAAAGCCTAAGGCTGCTTTAGTATTATTCCAAATGATTGAAATTGCCATCTTGCTGACTTTCCCTTGGGCAGMTTAGGGCCTGTTTACTTTTGTATTTGTTTCACATGTTCCCTCTGAGTTTGGCTGGCAGGACATCATTACCTGGTTTGACAAGACAGTTGGAGAAGATTCATATTTGAWTAACTCCCTTTGTTATTGTCTGGACAACACAAACCTCTGAAATTATCTGTTTCGAGTTAAAACTCCTGATAAATTCAGATAAAGGTTTGTAAATAGGAAAGTTTGTGAGGGTGTTTTTATTAGTTCTCTAGTTTTGCTTAACTTTTAAGTCTTCAAGTAACAGTCAATTATTAGAGGTGTAGAGGCTAAGCTTTTTCCTAAAAATTTTTATATTATAGTTGTTGTGCAAATACATTTTTTTTGTCAATCTACAAGTCACAGCCAGCCAATATTTTCTTTCCAATGGCTMCACAGCACCTGTGCAGCCCACAATAAAAACCTCCAGAAGCCTCCCAGTTTAAAGCCGTGTCATATAGGATATCAAGGATTCCCATGTGGCAAAAACAAGCTTAATATTCAAGTTCAGGAGTTTCTTTACTGAGAGGTGTTTCCTAACAGGAGGAGAAGAAATTAAAGGAGTTCTGTGTCAAGAAAGTGGCAGGCAGATGAAAGTTATGTCTTTGGAAGGAAATGTAACCACAAAACCCAGCAATGGAGTTTCTACAGAATTAGGAATAAACATAGGATTCCAAAGTTCAAATCATATCCTGTCTTCGTCTAGGAGTAAAATATTGTAAGGAAATTAATGATTGCCAAAGTAAAAACTAATTGCAACTMCAGATATTCATGTCTGCTATGCGTCCATGTGTGTGAATTTGGAAGATGACTTAAAACTCTTAAAGATTGTTATTTTGGCCATTTAAAACAGGAAATACGGCATAGGTGGCCTTCTGAAATCTCTGTATTTCTGCCTTTTTTTGTCTTTTTTTCAGTCTCTCTCTTTTCACTGCTTATCTTAGACAGACTGCAGTGTGCTAAACTTCTGATTTGCAAAAGGGAAGTGCACGTGACCACTGTGAGAGATGATTTAGCAGAACGAGTGGGTAGGACCAAGTCAGAG